TTTAAATAATGTTCCGCAAAAAAATAACTGAGATTTTATTTTGTCTTCATTTAGCTTTCTGCTTTACAGTGTTTTCATTAACTGAATTTCTAATGAGTTCTTTACTGTTTAATGAGGCGTTTGCTCTTTCTGTGTCTGGCTCATAAGAACCAAAGCAGAACATTGTTTTACAAATAGATCTGAATTTAAATTATGATCACTGTTTTGGTTTTTCACATGTTTCACATACTTAATAATTCACAGTTATAAACTGCTTAGAATGAGCCAAAATTATGATTTTTTTTTTTTTGTATATGAAAAAAAGTAAAACCCTCTCAATTTAGAAAGAAATATAAAAAAGCCCATGCTTAAGGTTAAAATGGTTGGAAAGAATACCTGCAATGGGTTTTCTTTCTTGTGTGATTTATTAGACAGGACCCACAGATTAATTATTATTAGGCCTAAAAGTAATATAATTACTCAGCATTATTTTCTGTAATTTTGTAATAATCCAGTTCTGCAAAAATGCAGCACTCAGTCAGTTACAGAACTTTAAAGATTTATTAAAAACTCAAATCTTTACTTGTTTGTTAATGTTAAATAACTGCGATGGACTGGCGTCCATGGTGTACCCCGCCTCTCACCCGTAGACAGCTGGAAATAGGCACCAGCACCCCTTGCGACCCCGCTTGGGATTAAGCGTGTAAGAGGATGGATGGATGGATGTTAATTAAGCTTCAGTTTTTCCTTATTGTTTTTTAACAGTCTCAGCTTCTGCATTTCTAAAATATTCTTATATATTTTACTGAGGTTTTTGGTCTAATAGTTTTGTGTTCTGTTACAATACAACTTAAATCTCTTATTTGTTTGGTTTTATTTATTCATCTATGATATTTATCTTGAAAGGTATATAAATAATCTTACTGATAAAAAAGGTTGACTGAAAGACTCTTTTGTAGTTTGGTGAAGATTCATTATTTTTTCGGAATTAAATTTAAACATTTTAATGAATATAAAGTGCACTTTATCATCAAAAATACTTCAGTGATAAAACGTTTGAAAAATTAGACAGAAAGCAAATGTCTCAGCCTGACTAGATGTTTTGTGCCTCTTCTTTTGTCATTATTCTCTAAGGTAGCAATCATCAGCATTTACCTGCATTTATGGCTGATGTAGTTTAATCAAATTCAAAGACAAAATGGGAAAAATAATTGGTATTTATTTTAATAGGTTTGGCTCCTGAACAAGTAACAGAAAGTGTCCAAATGAGATCCAAAATGTTTTTTAAAGCAAGTGATAAGAAGCAGAATAAAACATCTTAAATCAGCTCAGGATTGAGAGCCCTGGTCTCTCCTCAGTGTCTCTGTGACTGCAGACTGGGAGCCAGTTTTTTTACTGGGATGACCTTCTGTAGAGGTCATCGGGGCTGGATGTTGGTTTCACTCCTACTTTTCCACTGGAAAGCTCTATAGTTGCTTTTCATTGGTTTAGATGAGTTGATAGTGAACCAGAAGTAGAGTCACGGTGGAAGAGAACTGCAGTTTCGTGGTAGTTGGCAGATACTTGCAAGCTTTATCAAGTATACAATCTTTCATACTTGTGTTCAAGAGTGTTACCCAACATGTCTACAGTATGTCCTTGTAAAGAACTAGCCAATAAATAACAATAAGAACAAGGCCAAGGACTAATTTATATTG